ATGTACTTATAGTAATAATCCTAGAAGGTTATCAAAATCGTGTAATAGTAGAAGGTAAAATCCGGCATCAGTCTACATATACTTTATTTAGATATTAATCTGATTTTTTTTTTTCACAATTTTTTTTTCAAATTAGAGAAAATTATTACTAAATACAAAGATCAACGTTTATATCCTCCTTATTTACTTTAGATGAGGAAACAATTCTTAAGAGTCCGGATATTTTGCTAAATTGCAGTCAGATCTGGATTGTAAAAGTTCTACATGATTATATAAAGAAACGGTGAAGCACAGAAAATTGCTAGATAAATAGTAAATTATAAAAATGAGCACTGCTAGACTCCGCTGTGATGAATCTTTCTTTTCAATTCTCTCTATATTTGTTCCTAGTGCAATAGTTATTCATGGTATCATACGTTGGTGATTTTGTCCCTAGTTGCTATCTGAATTAGCCTTTGCTATAAATGGATGTTAAAAATGTCTTCCTCTGTAAAGATCTCAAGGAGAAAGTATATGGATCTTCCACCTACCATTGATATAGCTTCCAAGAAAGGTGTTGTGTGTAAAATTCGGAAGTCTTTGTATATATTTTGTTTTTGAAGTGGTGAAACGATAAGTTAACTGTATTGATTATCTAAGTTGATGGATATGGCGGTAACTGGTGATGATAATGAGGAATTACAATACTGTCTTTTAAGGTATCTAGCTTCTAAGTAAGAATTGAAGGAATTGGGTGAGAAAATATTTTGGAATTGAGGTTGCTTGATCCAAACATGGTATTTTCTTGTTTTAAAAAAAAATATGCACTTCATTTATTGGTTGAGACTGGTATGTTGGTTTGCAAACTGATTGTTACTTCGATTTAGCAGAGTCATCGACTAAGTTATATGGATCGGTTTAAAACTAGTATTTTCTTGTCAAAAAAGAAAAATATATATATATATATATGTGTGTGTGTGTGTGTGCGCGCGCGCGCGCACGCTTGATTTATTGGTTGAAATTGGTATGTTGGTTTGCAAACCAATTGATAATTTGATTGAGCAGAATCACCGACTAAGTTTATATAGTGTGGAGAGATAATTCATGCACTTTTGCCTAGTGATTCTCACACGAATATTGTGGTTCCTATTGAGAGATATTTGAAGTTAGTTCCTCGTGTTTGGTGTTTCAAAGAATGATCACTTGGATGTTGAAGGTTATACATATGCAAATTGGGTTGGTCCTATCACATCTACTTCTGAATACATTATATTTGTTGGAGGTAATTGGTTACTTGGAAGAGTAAGAAGCAAAAGATAGTGGTAATATCAAGTGTAGAAACTGAGTTTCGTGGTATGTCTCATGTATTTGAGAATCATTTTGGTTGAATGTCTCTTAAAATCCGATTAACTATCCCATAATTTTAAAATATTTTAAAACACTTCAAAATTCTAATTTGACTCCACATCCAAACAAATTCCACCAAATTCATGCCAAAATTACAAAACGACTCGTATTAGTAATTTTTTTTGGGCCTGTACTCAATGAATGGAAGCTGGGCCCAACCTGAAGCCCAAAGAAATCCTAAAGCCATAGAAACGTTTTCTTCTCTCTTCCCCTAAAGCCTTTTCGAACTCTGAACTTCGTCGTCTTCTTTTTCTTCTGCCGGGCGAGCTTTTCTGGGCGAAATCCACGGTTCGTAGGGACGCCGAGTTAACTGTAAGTAATTTCGGGTTTTCCTGTACTTGGTTGAGCTTATTGTTGCTCCTGTAATGGTTAGTACCTGTTTTTTCTTGGAATTTCTCGTTAAGCATAGTATGACCAAGTGCTTGAGGAAATGTCTCAAAGCGTTTTGACAAGTTGGAACTCGTTTGGCAATTGGGTTGTTCGCTTCTTTACTTTTAAATCCAAGATTTTCTATGAAAATCGTATTTATCAGGAAAAATTCGATGAACCCACTTGCTGATTAGGAAATGAGGTTCTTTCTTATGCTATGTGATTTGATGTGAGTGTGATCTTAATCAGCCTTTGAAATACCAAAAATTTTGGTTGTAATGTTTGTTGTTGGCTTCTGCAGGAGATATCTGGGTTTAATTCGAAATGGGTTGGAAAGCGGCTGAGAAACTCATTAGGCACTGGAAGATTCTCAGAGGAGATAATGTGAGGGGGGAATGTATATCATTTTCTCTGTCCCTCTTTCTTTACCTATTATTTATTAATTAACAATTTTCTATTCTCATGTGCAGGTGATGATAACAAGAGGCAAAGACAAGGGCGAGACGGGTGTCATCAAGCGAGTAATTCGCTCTCAGAATCGTGTCATCGTGGAAGGCAAAAATCTGGTATTAATCTAGCCCTGTTATTTGTAATTTGGTATATACTGTTTTGGTTTATCTGTTTTTGTCTTGCAATTCTTTGAGCAACTTTATATAATGTTTCATTCAATATTATAGCATTTTTCTTCGTGAGAAAACTTGTTTCGAATCCGTTCTGTTCTGGTCACTCCAATCCGATTGAGATTGTAGATGATCTCTATGATTATTACAACAAAAATGTTCGATCATGTTTTTGGGGTTATGCTCTTTTCTCACGCCTACCATTGAGCAAGTGGAATTGGTCAGTGTAATGTGGTTGATAGTCTGTGGACAGTATGCTTATTTATTAAAAGTATCTTTGACGGTTGTAACCTCTTCTAAGGGTCATATTAATGGTGAAATTCGCTGTCTTGTGCAATGCCTATGCAATGAGTCCCATTGTGTTGAAAAAATCATTGGGGTCTGAAGGATACCATGCAGACGAGAATAATGTAGTATATGATACTCACTGCTATTCAAGGCTTTTTTCCTTTTTTGGGAACTTTAACGAAAAACTCTCGGTACTGTTCACTTTAACAAAAAACCATATTTTTACACTAAAAAGTCAATCCTGATACTATTCACTTTACCTTTATTTTGTCCTTGTCGTTAAAACTCAAAGTTTTCAAGCTCTTTTCATTAGTTTTCCTTTTTTTTCTATCCAATCCTTATAGTTTCAATCAAATTTTTTTCAATGCTCAAGGCTTTTGGTTATTCGGTTCCAATGAGTTATCTGGATTTTGGTTGCTGCTGAACAATTACTCTGTCATTGCAGGTAAAGAAACATATCAAGCAAGGCCAAGGTCATGAAGGTGGGATTTTCACTGTCGAAGCGCCTCTCCATGCCTCAAATGTGCAAGTTGTTGATCCGGTGACAGGGTATGGATGCACTCATCTTCACATTACGTTTTCGTCCTTTGTTTCACTTTCAGTGTGGTGATCAAAATTTTCATTCTGCAGGAGGGCTGTTAAGGTCGGTGTGAGATATCTCGAGGATGGAACAAAAGTTCGAGTATCTAGAGGATTAGGCGCTTCAGGATCTATAATCCCTCGTCCTGAGATCTTGAAAATAAGGACTACTCCAAGACCGACTGTTGGTACTTATCTCAAGTCCTGAGATCTATATTCTTTTGTTGCTACTTATATAACAAATATCTCAGTTCGCCATGTTTTCTGCTGATAATCGAAAATAAACTTTGGTTGCAGCTGGCCCCAAGGACACTCCGATGGATGTCGTGTTGGAGAAGACATATGACGCTAAGACGGGGAAGGGAATGCCTGAACTTTGAGATAATTAGTCTCCTACTATCGTTCTGAAGCTTGGATGGAAGATTGTAGCAGAAAGAAACGAGACCAGTTGTGATAAAAACCCGAAAGAAATGGGAACAAATTAGTTCTCGTATGTTTGGTGAAAATGATTTAAGAATTTCTTGTACTGAATATGTGCCTACATTTTGTTATTTCGTTGGTAACATTGTACAAAGGATACGGCTTGATTGCTATAGGATTTCTCAGGTTTAAGGCCGTTAATTTACTTAAAATCTCAGATGAACTTATTCTTGCATATGGACCATTTCAGATCGCCATACAAATACATGGATCTCAAACAGGGGATACATTTTTATAAGATAACGCAAAACGCTTCTGGATATGTTTGGCAAACAATCGTAAAGGAGCTTAGGCTATGCCTAATTGGATAAAATAGTTATCGTGGTGTTAGAGTAGTCAAAAGATAGTTTATGTGGTAAAAAAATTTAGATTAAATCCTTGTGGTAGAATTTATTTGAAATTGAACCCGAAAACCAAAAAGCTTGTTATTTATCCGATAACCCACTAGCCATGGCTTCACACTCACCCAAACTCTTTTGCTACCACTACCAGTTGAGAAGCAGCATACGTAACTTAGAATCAACATGACCACATTGCAGCTAAAGGGCACTTTGATAAACTGACACACTCCAACTCGATTAGCCTTTCAATTAAAAATGAAAATATGTTGACCGACACTAAATTGACAAAAAAATCCCATTATAAAAATGAAGAAATAACATTAACTTGATGACGAAGTTATAATAAGAAAATTGTGATGTGAATTATTTTTGAACCTGAAATTCAAATCAAGGATGACTACGTTATAATTCAAAACGAAAATTTGCAAGATACTAGTGAGAAAATGTGACAAGAAAATAAATTTAAAAACGAAAATAAATTGAGGAAGTCAATGGATAAATTTGTTTGCTAGCTAGAACCTTACATGTCCGTACGGGCTCCTGCCCTGTGATTCACATGGACATGGCGAGCGCTGCACAAGACACACAGCAGACGCATCCTTTTGCATGCCGATAAAACTCGCCAGAAAAAAATCCCCCAACTTTTTCTACTTCCCAATTAATTAAAGTACTACAGGACAAAACAATCCAAAGCAAATCCAGAACCAAAACCTGACGCTACAAAAGCTTACAAGGCATATCGAAATATATATCCTCCATTGGAGCTCTGGATTGATCCATCAATCGACACGTAACTCGGACACTGGACACTCGTCGCCATGCATGGCTTCGATCCCACTTCCTTATCCCATAATCTCTCCATATTTATAGTTATCTTGCGTTCATCACCTCCATCAGAAAAACTAAGCAAAAATCTGAGATATAATCGTATAGAGTTATGGATTTGAAAGGTAGGGTACTTGTGGTTTGCTTGCTGCTGTCTGCTTTTTTTCTGAGTGCTTTTGCGGTTGCTGTGGCTTTGGAAGATCCAGAGCTGAAGCAGTGCAAGCACCAGTGCAAACACCAGCGAGGGTTTGAGGAGTGGCAGAAGCAACAGTGCGAGAGGAAGTGCGAGGACTACATCAAGCAGAAGAGGGAACAGGAGGACCAGCGGAGGAGGTGGGAAGGAGGAGGAGGAGGAGGAGGAGGAGGGGAAGGAGGAAGTTTTTACATACGTGAGAGAGAGGAGTTCGAGGGGCGAGGGCAACAACAACAACAACAAGGAGACGAGAATCCTTACTTCTTCGAAGACCAGCATTTCGAGACGAGGGTTCAAACTGAGGAAGGTAGGGTTCAGGTTCTGCAGAAATTCAACGAAAGGTCTGATCTTCTGCGTGGGATTGAGAATTTTCGAGTCGGGTTTCTCGTCACGGAACCTCATGCATTCGTTGCTCCAACTCATCTTGATGCTGATTGTGTCCTATTTGTTTGCCAAGGCAAGTCACTTGTTTAGTAATTCTCTTAATTATTTTAAGAGAGACTTTGGATGCGGTCCCTAACTATGAATATTCTTTGACTAAAACCTTGTTGGTTTTCAATTTTTTATCTCCCTGAAATTAATGTGATAATTTATTTCTATGTACATTACTATATTTTTTAAATTAAAAATTTATATTTATATTTGTTTATATTAATGAGATTTTAAATAAAAAAACATAATTTGTGGGATTAAAAATATTAAAATATAAATATACTATTGTGTGTGTGTATATAAACATGGGTACGTTCATCAAAATTAACCAAAAAATTATTGTATCAAAACATAAGTACATTCTTCAAAATCACAAAAAAAAAAAAAAAAATATTAGGCTTAATAATATTAGTAAATTTCTTCGATTAAACTTAACACGGATACATTCTCAAATCAAAGAAAAAAGAATGTACCCATATAAGTTTAAAAATGGATTAGAAAAAAATTGAATAGATTTTATATATATAAAAAAGGGTACATTTTACATATAACAAATTGGTATATTTAAGAATGAGTACATTTTAAGATTAAAAATTTGAAAAAAATTACATGAATTGGTACATATAATTAGCATGGGTACATTTAGAAAAAATAAAAATGGGTACAAATACAAATAAAACTTTAAAAAATATGGGCATAAAAAGAAATTAATATATGGGTACAAATTAAAACTAAAAAGAAAATTGGTACAAATTAAAAATGGGTACAAACTAAAAATAAAAATAAAAATATATGATAAAAAATTTAACTATAAATATACTAATTGTAACATTTTTAACATTAAATGAATATATTTAGAAATAAAAAATATTTTATTATTGAAATAATTAATGATGTTATTAATACCAAGGACCTTGATCAAAAATTGAAAAGGAATAAGGTTTTAATCAATGGAGTGGCAAAAGTAAGGATGAGAACCTAATTTCTCCTTATTTTAATTATTGTGTGATACTGAAATCACGTCTACCTGAGCAATCATAATATGTAATAAATATATATATATATATATATATATATATATATATATATATATATATATATATATATATATATATACTCACACACACGTAATATGCTGTTACATATTTATTGAAACTATAATCTATGTGCTGGTGATTTCAGTACTACATAATAAGATGAGAGGATGAATTATGTGTACGCTTATTAACTCATTAAGACGTTAATACCACAACCACTAAGTTTTCACTTTTTGGGTCCTAAATAATCCATTTTTTTCTCCTTTTATGTGAATTAAGGCCGGCCAACAATCACACTGGTGAGGGAGGAGAAGAAAGAGAGCCACAATCTTGAACGTGGAGATCTCTTTAGGATTCCGGCAGGCACCCCATTTTATATACTCAACAGAGACGATAATGAAAGGCTCCATATTGTCCAACTTCTCAAAGCAGTCTCTACCCCCGGCGAATACGAGGCGTTTCACTCGGCCGGCGGCCAAGACCCCGAATCCTTTTTCAAAGCATTCAGCCCCGAAGTTCTCCAAGCCGCTTTTAAGGTAACATAATTCAATTCCATTCTGTTGAATATTTGTCAATTTTTACTAATATGGCGGGTAAATTATGTTTGTGCTTCTAATTAAACAGACGGATAGGAATAAGTTGGATAGGCTATTTGGGCAGCAGACGCGAGGCAGCATCATAAGGGCCTCCAAAGAACAAGTACAGAGAATGAGCCAGCAGCATGGTCATGGCGGCAGTGAAGGCATTTGGCCGCTGCCTTTCCATGGCGGTGAATTAACTTCAAAAGATTCATTCAATCTTTTTAAGAAGCATCCTTCCCAAGAAAACAAGTTTGGCCGTCTCTTTGAAGCCGATTTCAAAGACTTCAAGCAGCTTCAGGAGTTTGACCTCCTCGTCTCCTTTGCTAACATCACCAGGGTAAGAATTAATATATGAAAAAAAATACTGGTTCGAGCTGAAAAACATGTTTTCACAAACCATAGTTGGACACATGCATAAATTCATCCCTTCATGTTTTTGATGACTTACTTCGATCCTTTCGCGTTTTTAGTGATTGACTTTTCTTATTAAGTGTGAACTTGCTTCTTTCATATAAGCTTGTAAACTCATCTTTTCGTGTCTAATGACTTAATTTTGCGCATGCGTGTCAAAATGTGATTTCGCAAAAGTAAGGATTTCTACTTAGATATGTTGCAGACAGTGATTTCACTGAACTCTTGAATTCAGAAGAGCGACATGTTCGTATTTCTTTTTAAATTTTACCAATCCAATTCACACAAATCCTACGTAGCTTAAAAATGAGTAACCAATGAATTCTATGTTTTTGTTGTGATACAGGGTGCTATGGAAGGTCCATTTTTCAACTCAAGGGCTACAAAGATATCAGTTGTGCTAGATGGTGAAGGCCACTTTGAGATGGCATGCCCGCATGTTGGTAAACAACGCCAGCACAGTGGAAGGTCGCAGCAGAGACAAAAGAGCAGCCCAACTTACCAAAAGATGAGAGGAGACTTGAGGCGAGGAGCGGTGTTTGTTGCCCCCGCCGGCCATCCTGTCACAACCATTGCCTCAAGAAACAATAACCTCCAACTCCTCTGCTTCGAGGTCAATGCTCGAGACAACATCATGTTTCCACTGGTAGGGAAGAACAATGTGGTGAGCCAGTTCGATAGGCAAGCCAAGGAGCTCTCGTTTGACGTGCCGGCGAGCGAGGTGGAGAGTATTTTCAACAACCAGAAAGATGAGTTGTTTTTCGAAGGACCAAATGAGCAGCCTCAGAACGGGCTTATGCATGAAAGTTGAGGTTTTGTGAGAAGCCCTAAGGAGGAGGATGTTTCAGTTTTGGGGTACCGATATGTATATTATAACGCGGTCAACTAATGTAAATGTTGGGTTGTAACCTTAAATAAGAGATCAGGACTTCTGTGGTACCTATATGTATATTATAACGCGGTCAACTAATGTAAATGTTGGCTTGTAACCTTAAGTAAGAGATCAGGACTTGTATGCCAACTAAATGTTGTAAATTTCGGGTTGTGACCTTAAATAAAAGCAAGGGATGAGAGTATGCCTTGTTTTCATTTGTTTTGCGTTCTATTAATTTAGTGCACAACAAAATTAGAAAATCAGTTCATCGATAGCACAATTAAGTAGTGAAGGATACACGACTTTATCCTTGTTGCATCCTAACAATAGTGCTGGCAGCAGCTACTGTTTTTTTCCAGTTTTTCGGTTAAGCGAACTAAGAACTTGGCATCACAGTGATACCATTGTGTGCTTAGCCTACATCTCTACGTTAGAGTGCTCTTTTAGTTGTATTTTCAGGTAAATATTTTTATAGTCGTTAGTTGTCTTTCTTTTTAAAAAGAAAAAAAAAATCATATATGTATAAGATCGACAGCTCCAATTTATAAGATGATTGAGAGCAGGAAGCGTTAATGGGCCTAAACAATTAACTTTAAAAAAAATTAAAAAAAAGGGTGCGGAATCGTTAAAAACATATAGGTTTTTACCTTTTCTGCTTCTTATTCATCGTTATAATTTCATTACAAACAATCAATATCTCGTGGCATTGTAAGAATATATATATAGAGGGTAATGTTAGGAAGACTAAATGTGTGAACTAACAACAACAACAACAACAACAAAGCCTTTTCCCACTAAGTGGGGTCGGCTATATGAATCCTAGAACGCCATTGCGCTCGGTTTTGTGTCATGCCCTCCGTTAGATCCAAGTACTCTAAGTCTTTTCTTAGAGTCTCTTCCAAAGTTTTCCTAGGTCTTCCTCTACCCCTTCGGCCCTGAACCTCTGTCCCGTAGTCACATCTTCGAACCAGAGCGTCAGTCGGCCTTCTTTGCACATGTCCAAATCACCAGAGCCGATTTTCTCTCATCTTTCCTACAATTTCGGCTACTCCTACTTTACCTCGGATATCCTCATTCCCAATCTTATCCTTTCTCGTGTGCCCACACATCCCACGAAGCATCCTCATCTCCGCTACACCCATTTTGTGTACGTGTTGATGCTTCACCACCCAACATTCTCTGCCATACAACATCGCTGGCCTTATTGCCGTCCTATAAAATTTTCCCTTGAGCTTCAGTGGCCTACGACGGTCACACAACACGCCGGATGCACTCTTTCCATCCAGCTCGTATTCTATGGTTGAGATCTCCATCTAATTCTCCGTTCTCTTGCAAGATAGATCCTAGGTAACGAAAACGGTCGCTTTTTGTGATCTTCGCTAGATTGCTCCGGTCATTAGTGTGGATAAGTATATAAATGGATAGAGATAGGAAAGCAAACACAAGATGTACGTGGTTCACCCAGATTGGCTACGTCCACGGAATAGAAGAGTTCTCATTAATTGTGAAGGGTTTACACAAGTACATAGGTTCAAGCTCTCCTTTAGTGAGTACGAGTGAATGATTTAGTACAAATGACATTAGGAAATATTGTGGGAGAATGATCTCGTAATCACGAAACTTCTAAGTATCGGAGTGTGGTGTCGTCTTGACTTGCATTATCTGTCTCATAGGTAGATGTGGCATCTTCTCTGGAAGTACTCTTCCTCCATCCAGGGGTGGTATCTTTAACTGGTGGAGATGCACAAGGTAATGTATCAATTTCACTTGAAGCTTACTTGTAGTTTCAGGCTTGGTCAAGCGCGATACAAACCATGTAGTAGGAGTCCCCCAAGTCGCCGAGCTAGGGGGTCTGCTGAAAGAGGTGACAGACAAGGTAAGCAATCAGAGCTCCGACTGATTGTTCACCTTCTCCCCATCTTGCAGCAGCATGAAGGATAAAGAGAAGAAAAATGAGAAGAGATGATATGAGATACTTTTGCTTTTGAAGAAGTAACTTTCCACAGGCTTATTCTTGAACTGAGTTGGAGGGTTTTCTGGTTTCCTCCAGAGTATAAGGCCGACTGAAGAATTTGAGGGTCAAAACAAGTCCATCAAATCTAGAGTACGTTCCACCCTGCTGATATGGGATACTTTTGCTTTTGACAGAGTAATGGATGTATCGGCACGTGTGCTGTTACGCTTGTCTCCACATGCTTCCTTGTATCCTTTGCACTTGCCCTATCTGTTCCTCAAGCAGATGCGGAATCTTCCCTCGAAACATAAGATGATGAAGATGAGTACTCGAGAGCAATGCCAGGTAAGTAATCAGGTAAGGGGTTCCAGGCAGTCAGTTCCTGGCTGGAAGCTTGATTCCAAGTGCTGACTGATTGCTCTCTTTCTCCTTGTCTTGCAGGTAAAAACAAGGCCAAAAGAAAAAAACAGGGAAAAAGCATGATATGGGATACTCTTGCTTTTAACCCTGATGATATGAGATATTTCTTGCTCTAGTATAGCTTGTTTGCAGAGGTATTATCGGGGGGAAAGAAAGCTGAATATTTCGAAAGGCTTTGTTGGGAGTGCCCTCTCAGATATGATGAAGGGTTGAGCATTTTTGCAGGTCTGCCTGTCCGTTGGGGATGGAGGTCGACATATATAGGAGTCTCCCTAACAACAAGTAGTAATGCTATTCCTTTACCCTGCTTGGTCATAGCACGGTAGTGGGAGCTGCCAGTTTCACATGTTTTAACTCTGTCAGAGCACTTTGAAAAAGTGGTCTGTGGTATCTGGCTCTCGAGATTCGGAGAACGATGCCTCTTCGATTTTTGAGAAAGCAATCATGCTGGGGGTCTGACTCTCGAGATTCGGAGAGCAGTGTCTCTTCGATTTTTGAGGAAGTAATCATGTTGGGAGTCTGGCTCTCGAGATTCGGAAGGCGGTGCCTCTTCGATTTTGGAGCAAGCAATCTTGTTGGGAGTGTTGTCTCGAATGTGAGTAAAGGTTGGACATGTTTGCTAGTCTACCTTGCCACGAAGCACAAAGGTTGACACACAGGGACTTTCCAATTATCCAGCAATGGTACTGTTCCTTTACCTTCTCTTCGATTTTGAGAAAGTAGTCATGTTGGGAGTCTGGCTCTCGAGATTCGGAGGAAGGTGCCTCTTCGATTTTGGAGCAAGCAATCTTGTTGGGACTGTTTTCTCGAATGTGAGTAAAGGTTGGGCATGTTTGCTAGTCTACCTTGCCACGAAGCACAGAGGTTGACACACAGGGACTTTCCAATTATCCAGCAGTGGTACTGTTCCTTTACCCTTGTGGGTAATAATATGGTAGCTAGACCTTCAAAATTTATGTGTCTAAACTTTGTTAGTGCTGTTTCTTTGCTATTCTTTTACCTTTCTTGGTCAGAGCGATGTAGTGGGAGCTGCAAGCTTCACGTGCTCAACTTTGGCAGAGAACTTTGGCAAAGTGATCTGTGGTACCCATGAGTTATTGTTGCGTGTGGGAAGTGGGTGATTGAATAGTAAGATTCATGTGCTTTCTACTTCACCAGAAGTCTTCGACAGAATGCCCATAATTTCTGCAAAGCTGAGTGTGCGTGTGACAGGTGCTGACAAGGCTAGAAAAGTAGGTGCCTCTTCGATTTCTGAGATCGGCCCTCGTGGTCTCTGAGCAGCCCAACTTTTGAGAAAGCGAGCGCCTCTTCGATTGATTCGGAGAACGGTGCCTCACCGATTTTTGAGAAAGCAATCATGCTGGGGGTCTGGCTCTCGAGATTCGGGGAGCAGTGTCTCTTCGATTTTTGAGAAAGTAATCATGTTGGGAGAGTGGCTCTCGAGATTCGGAGGGCGGTGCCTCTTCGATTTTGGAGCAAGCAATCTTGTTGGGAGTGTTTTTCTCGAATGTGAGTAAAGGTTGGGCATGTTTGCTAGTCTACCTTGCCACGAAGCACAGAGGTTGACACACACAGGGACTTTCCAATTATCCAGCAATGGTACTGTTCCTTTACCCTCTCTTCGATTTTTAAGAAAGTAGTCATGTTGGGAGTTTGGCTCTTTAGATTCGGAGGACGGTGCCTCTTCGATTTTGGTGCAAGCAATCTTATTGGGAGTGTTTTCTCGAATGTGAGTAAAGGTTGGGCATGTTTGCTAGTCTACCTTGCCACGAAGCACAGAGGTTGACATACATGGACTTTCCAATTATCCAGCAGTGGTACTGTTCCTTTACCCTTGTGGGTAATAATATGGTAGTTAGACCTTCAAAATTTATGGGTCTAAACTTTGTTAGTGCTGTTTCTTTGCTATTCTTTTACCCTTCTTGGTCAGAGCGATGTAGTGGGAGCTGCAAGCTTCACGTGCTCAACTTTGGCAGAGAACTTTGGCAAAGTTATCTGTGGTACCCATGAGCTATTGTTGCGTGTGGGAAGTGGGTGATTGAACAGTAAGATTAACGTGCTTAATTATAATTGGCAACACATCATTTAGTTTACAAATTTAGACTCCTTACGTAAAAGAATAGTTGTTAGAGGCAGCTAGCTATAGCCTTGGATTCGTACTGTCTTCTCCGTCAAACATTACTTCAAGAATAGTCACAAGAAACTACACTTCCTTCAACTACTCGTCCAAGTCCCCCTCACTATTCCTCAAGAGCTGGATGGGTTTCTCCAAAAACTTGCTAACAATCTCACTACTCTAAATCCACCGCTAGCATGCTTTCCTCGTCCGATACTTCTGAACCCTTACGTAAGATTCTTCAACTTCTCGTCTCCAATTCTACGACTCTCTCCGCAGATGCCTCCAACCTCTGGATTATAGCAGAAACTTCTTTCTCCAGCTGTTTATCAACATACTTTCTAGTCCTTGTTCGCTCAGGCTTCGAGAGAATGTGAGCGTCCAACTCGAACAAAGTTTGGTAATCACTAACAAATTCACGTTGAGTAGATTCTTGAAACTTGACTCTTTGGAATAGGCTTTGCGGCATGATGTGTTGTGATGACCGAACCGGCCTTACAAATAAGGTTATGGCGATGATGGCCTGGTGGTGCAATGGAGAATGGCATCGGCAGAACGGCCATTTTTCCTTTTCCGGTTGCATGGTTTTTGTAGGTCTTTAGTTTGTTGAAGTATGTAGTAGGCTAGTAGCGAATTAGCTAGGGTGGATTAGAATCGGTCACTTAACCAAACCAAAACAAAAACTTATTAGAGCCGGTCA